GTTGAGCAGAAACACAGATTTTAATCATTCATATTTCACATTCAAGCATAAATAAAGACTTTATATCCACTTTAATGAATGTAAATGGCCGCTATTTGTATAGCGCTTTTACTAGTCCCCCCTAGGAACCCCAAAGCGCTTTACACACCCAGTCATCCACCCATTCACACACTGGTAGAGGCAGCTACAGTTGTAGCACAGCTGCCCTTGGTGCAGACTGACAGAAGCGAGGCTGCCATATCGCGCCACTCGGCCCCTCTGGCCATCACCAGTAGGCGGTAGGTGAAGTGTCTTGCCCAAGGACACAACGACCAGGAACAGACAGAGCTGGGGATCGACCCGGCAACCTTCCAGTTATAAGATGAGCTTCCCAACCCCCTGAACCATGGTCGCCCCAAATGTAGTTATGATCATAATATATTATCCTGATGTCCTCTTATGTAAACTTGGACATACTTGCATCAAATGTTACGTTTTGTCATCTCATGGGTGGCTGGTAGATTTATTAGAAGTTGCGGCATTTCCCCGTGTAGCTGACAATGCAGAAATAACACCAGTGAGACAACCCTGTGCACAAATGAAAGCAACAGTATTTCTTTTAAAATGTTATTAGAGAGTAATTAAAGCGATGTGCACTGTTCTAATCTCAGACTGAAACTGGTCGTGGGCAAAAATACAGAGTGCTGTCTACTGAAGCTAAAAGGCTGGTGACACGTTCAACATGACTACCCATGCTTGACTGCTTTAGACCTTCAACTTAATCACTGATGACACATCTTTTGCCAAATAGTCAAATTAAATGTGGCACCTTATTAAGTACACCTGTTCAACTACTTATTTATGCAAACATCTGATCAGCCAATCACGTTGCAGGAACAGCATTTAGAACATAGTCAAGACAAAATGGTGAAGTTTAAACTGAGCAGCCGACTGGGGAAGAAGGGTGATTGAAGTGACTTTGAATGTAGCGTGGTTGTTGGTGACAAACGGGCTAAGTATTTCAGAAACTGTTGATCTGCTGGGATTTTCGCACACTGCCATCTCAAGGGTTTACAGAGGATATTTTCCCAAACAAGAGAAAATATCCAGTGTGCGGCAGTCCTCTGGAAAAAAATGTATTGATGATGTCAGAGACCAGAGAAAAATGGCCACACTACTTTGAGCTGTTACAAAGACCACACCCAGAACCGCTCCGGTCAGCTAAGAACCGGCAACCGAGGATATCATATCCACGAACTTACCAAAATTAGACAGAAAATCAGAAAAATGTTTTCTAGATTTACGAGTCTCAATTCCTGCCGCAACATTCGGATGGTAGGGTCAGAATTTGGTGGACACAACATGAAGCCATACTGTTGCAGACCACGTCCATCCTTTCATGATGCTTGCTTCCAGCACAGTAACACACTGTGTCACAAAGCTCTGGTTTCCTGAACACGACGCGTCACAGTCACCAGATGTCAATCCAACACGGCCCTTTGGGATATGGTGAAACAGAGGATTTGCATTTAGGACGTGCAGCCAACAAATCTTCAGCAGCTGTGCGATGCTGACACGTCAATACGGACCAAAATCTCTGCTGTTAAATGTTGAGTTTTTCCAGCACCTCAATGAATCTGTGACACTACGAATTAAAGCAGCTCTGAAAGTAGAAAGGAGCAAGGAGGAACTAATGAAGTAACCGGTGCCCTGTAGTATACAGATGAGGACTGCAACTAATATTTCTTTTCTGTACAGATTAAATGATGGCAGTGTTTTCTTATTTCATGTTTTGTGTATAAAATTACCAAAACACAAAGAGACACACTGGGTTGGTTTGCTAGGTCAAAACCAGAAGTCATCACAAGTCACAGTGGAGCCCATGCCATACTGGATTTTATGGGGCCAATTCTAAAGGAAGTTGAAAAAAAAATGTATACCATCAACTAAAGTGAGATTGATGAGGGAGGACTCATCACACTTCCAGTTATAACTGTTAGTAATAATGTTACTAATACATGTAGATTTGTCACATCTTTATACCTCATAAAGTCTCCAAATTATGCAGAGATTATAAATGCAAACTAGGGTCAGGAAGCTACAGTCTAACATGCTCGTGGCTAACCACAAAAATGCTACAAAAGTAGTTGACCCAAGGCTAGTTGCATATTATTTCGTAAAAGGGAAAAAAACGGATGAGTGAGTATTTGAGCTTCGTGTCATGTCATGCCTGTCTGAACCAGCAATGTATACCAGAGGACTGCTTACTGTTGTGTAGAAGAAAAATGCTGTTATCAGATACACTGCACAGATCTGTCGATGGGCAGTTCTGAAGAACTGGAGGCAGTTGGCTCTGTTAACAGTCAACTGTTTTCTCTTTTCTCGCTACTCTCCTTGTTATTCTACGTAAGATGCCAAATAAAGACTAAACTGTGATGAGTTTTGTTGTAGTACCAGTTCTTTTTTTAAATACGTCTCATGAGACGCATACAGCAACCACTGATCAATGACACCGCAAACCACTAATGTACATAGACTTTGGTCCATGATAAACTACTACAGTCAGGCCATATGTTGATGTCTTATCAACAAATGAAGTATATACATTTCATTTGGTACACATAATATTTCAATCCAACAAATCTGTGTAGTTAATCCCTTTTGTTTCCATTTAAGATACAGTAGTAGCTAAAAGTAGTTAAAACTCCCACTGTGAGTACGTTTTGCATGGTTGCCCGTACTGTAACTGCATTTTGCATTGTCTTTACACTTTAACTCACCTCACACAGCAAACTATGCACACGCCCTATGACAGGAACAGTGTTCACTAGTACATGACGTGCATGTAAACTTCATCCTACTCCCTTTTGAACATGTAAATTGTGTGGTATATAGAATTATTCATGTCACCTCCATGTTTTTTTATTTTACTTTGGGGGTTTTTCTGTTTACAATGTATTTTTATATATACATCTTATATTTTTCAGGTTTTAATGTCCACATTCAGGATTCACCTCTTACTCCACTGTTTATATTCTGCTTTTGCTCAGCCACAAAGGCATCATAACACACTCAAGTGCACTGAATCATGTTTACATCTATGTTTTGAGGGGTCTGATTCAAAGAGCAGACAGATGCTAAGTAGGCTGTATTTATTCAAGTAGTCTTCTGAGACACAGCTTTCTTTTTTTCTCCACTGCACTGCATGAATTTAAGAGCTGCACTTGCTGCCTCATATGTCAAAACCGTAAATACAAATATTCAACATATAAGACTGTTATATTTATGCAAGATTTTTTTTTAAATCTTTAAGACATTTGATGTATCAAATTTAATAATTAATTTGATATAACAGACGAGATGCAAAGACCCACTTGAGGAGGCCACCTAACGTTTTTCGGGATGCAGCTTCTTAAGTGGAAGTCCTGAAAACTTGTTCCACCTCTGACCTCTCATAGAGGTGTCACAGAGACCGTTTGATTCGTCTCTTACCCAGCAAAAGGAGTTTATATTCCCGTCGGGATTCCCTCTTGTCCCGGCGGAGCTGCCTCTCAATCTCATCGTTGATCCTCCGAGCCTCTTTGGCCTCCGGGCTGAGGCAGCATGCCCCCACGGAGCTCAAAATCATTCCTGGTTACAACTTCACCTTCCAAGGTAAACACACATACATACTGTTTGTTCATATAGCGAACACTCCCCGCTTCCCTTCCCTTCCTCAGTGTATCCTCGAGTCACAACATACAATGATTAAAGCCCACAGTAACTCTTTACTACAAGCTCCAGTAACTACGCCTCCCCCCTCCCGGAGCTGGAAACAGAAGCTTTAGCACATTTAAGGAAGTAAAGCAGCTGTTCTCGAGGCTGTTACCTTCTTCCTCTCCAGTAAAAGGGGAAATTAACTTTGTGCAATAAGTTGAGCAGACTGTAACGGCGACTGTGATAGCTGACGCTCCGGGCGTGGTGGACTGAATATGGCGGAGTTTTGACTTCAAAGCGCAACAAAATGACACTGATTATATCAATTTTTTTAAAAAAAAAAGTGGTTAAGAAGACCTACTCGGTAAATAAGATCCTGCAACCTTCTATCGCGTTATCCTCCTCTGCCTGCAGACTCCTTTATCCCGTCTCCCCCCCCAACTCTATCCACAGTGAAACCCAACAGCGCGCCATGTGACAGAGGGCTGTGCTGTGATGGGAAGCCGTGTGGGCTTTCACTATTACATTATAGGAGCAGATTTCCGGTGTTAACCAGCGAACTACGGATGCATGTGATAGAGCAACTGGCTGACACACTTCACCATGCCCGTAAACCACTTACATGTACTACAAAGACAGCAGCGCAGTATTGCTCCGCTGAAATAAAAACAAATAGACACACACTTACACTTTGTGGGCTGTGACACAGACTTTATTTACTAAACACCTGCAAGTACTACACAGAAAAATCACCACTCCTGGACTCACAAATCTCCTGACATCAAACTGCAAAGAAAAGAGAAAAAAAAAGTATCTTAAGAAATCAATTCACAGAACTCTAAAAATCCTTCTCCAAAAATTAAAATAATAAAAAAAAATGCAAGAATAAAATGGATCCAACTGATCAGCTCTTAAGGTTGGAAGATTTCAGCGAGTCCATCCCTGTGAGTGGTAGAAAAGAAATAATGGAAAGACAACTAAAGATTACCAAATCTGTCTTTTTTTGTTGTTCTTGTTGTTTTTGGCCCCAAAGTATTAAGTAATCTGGGCCGTTCTAAACACTCATAAAATTACTGCTTTTTTATGTAAATATATATACACACTTTATACAGCTTTTTGCCTTTCAAAGAAAGACGATTACACACACAAAAAAAAAAAAATCTTAAAACTTTCTTTATGCATACCGCACTGGCACAAGTATCCCAACTTTTTAAAAAAAAACAAGAAAAAAAAAGATATTTTGGGAAATGGGTTTATTTATTTCCTGCCTGTTAAAATATGAAGCTAGCACCATCACGGATTAGAAAGTACACCCACAGTACAAACATTTCAAAAGTTCACAATTTTCACAAATCGTCTGTTTGATCCATAAAAAAAAACTGTTTATGAGAGAATTATAAACTGAAAGGTTTCTAAAATAGGCACCGATGGGTTACAAGCAGATATTATTTGTGCTGAGGGGAAGGCCAAAAGTACATTTTAGCTTCTTTCTGTACAAAATAAACAACAACAAGATACAGTATGTTCATCTGTGGACTGATGGGTGGAATTTCTGCTGCATGCATTCACTTTTGTGCTAGAGTAAGCCAACAGGCTGTGGTGCTAGCTTCATACTGACCCTCCACACATGAGGCTGGCATCTCAATTCTTCTCTGCTTTCTACTTTAGCGTAATAGACATAAATAAATTCATTTCCCAAACAATCTCACTGAACCCCATCATTCAAAAAAGAAAAAGAAAGAAAGCACTTCATTACTTCATTTAACAGTGAGAAAAAAGGTGTTGGAGGTCGTGTAAAAACTGAAGTTTATTCAAAAGGCTTTGAACCATTCCAACACCATGCATCTTCATTTGGAAAGTGTGCTTAAAACTTTAAGGGAAAGAAGAAAAAAAAAATCAAACAAACATAATGATTCAAACTAAACTATTACATTCTGCATGCTGTACTGAAATCAAAGAAATAAGGGCCAGAGGTTGGCTCTCACAACACCGAAAGTCATCACACAGATGGGTTTACTCCAGTGACGGCACAAGAATCTCTTAAAAGTAATCACACCAGCACAGAAAAACTTGTTGACTGCTGTTTGACAGCTTAAGATTTGTCAAAATAAAAACTGCAACACAGCTAGGCGGTGTAGAGTGTGTGTGTGTGTGTGTGTGTGTGTGT